CTAAAATATATCCTCTAACAAAGAGTGAAAATTTGACAAACAAAGCTCCATTCGCTTCTGAGATAAAACGATTTGCAATTGGCCATTATTTTTCCAACATTTCATTCAAACTTTAATTTATAAATCAATGAAAATGTAAAGCATAGTTTTAGGCATTTCATTTATAATGAATTTTATTTGACGCCAATAAAGCGCCCTAAACTATTCTCCACTTCCTTTAACATTCAACAAAATATTGGGCAGGAGATCTGGCAACATTGTTGCAATGACTGCTATTGGAAAATGTAAAATTACTGTGTGAGCCATGTTGCGGTAACAGGCAACCAGCACCGACAAGCAGCTATATTTGGACTGAAGAAAAATTTCAAATGGTCATATCTCGGCAATGGATTGAGATATTTTTGTGAAATTTTCACGAATAGATAGGAAAAATATTAATGATTTATAATATGTACTTTAAAAGAATGATCGAGCTAGAGCACGTGCTTATTTTATTAAAAATTATAACCATTTCCATTTCAATGAAATTAGCTGGAATTTATTTTTTTTTTTCAAATTTTTAGATGTATTTTTTATGAAAGAAAATTAATTACACTAGTTTACTTTGCATTTCTTAAAGTAAACATAAAAAAGTAGAGCTTTAGGTTACATTATTGGGCGCGCAATTAGTTTTTTTGAGTTCATCCTGAAGACGAAGAGTTTCAAGAGAGGGATAGCAGAAGATACTTATTAACGATGCTTATCGAGGTGTTGAAGCCGATCATTTATAGTATTCAATACGAGTTTTATTTCACGTTTCAGAGAAGAGAGCGACCTTTTAAGTAAAATGTCGGCAATGGATTAGTTATTCTGTATCAAATGATCGAGTGGCATATGATGGTTTTTACATTTTTTTTTAAATTTTATTGATTGAAAGCAAAAAATGTTGGAAATAGCATCAAATTTTAGAATAGGTTTAGATTTGTTCGAATTGGTCACCTTTTGCACGAATTATGGCCTTCAAACCGTATTTTGGCCCATTCCCGGCGAAGCGCTTGCTTGAGGTGATCGACATTTTGGTATTTTTTAGTGCCAACCTTGCTTTCCAAAATACTCCAGACACAATAGTCCTACTGATTGGTATCCAGAGATTTTGGCCATTGTGCGCTGGAAATGATGCGAAGAACCTAATTTTGTAATCATTTGTTTCATTTTGTTTATTTACAAACTTTTGGACAATGAATGTTTTCTCAACGGAGACGGATAAAACCAGTTCACCACTTTCGGCTAAGCGAAGCAACTCTTTACCTCTTTGAGTCTATTTTCTTTCTGTTGCGGTGTAATTTCTTGCACTTTTTGGAATTTCAATTGAATTTCATTTTTCAATTTTTGCCGAGCGATAGGCACTTGTGGTTCTCCAGCCAAATATAAAGAAATCACACTATTACGCTTGAATTCCATTACGAATATTTTTTTTCTGGAAAATTCTTACCAAAATGCTTTTGTACGCCATATTTTCCAATAAATTTGTCTTTGAAATAGGTTCTTAGGGATGGACAACCTCTTAGAAATAAATTTCAATGTATGACCAAGTTTCCAAGTAGTCTTTATTTTTTGAGGATATTGGACACTGTCAGACAATTTTCTTTTCTTAAAAAATGATAAATATGTAAATAGATTAAATTTGGCGCCCAATGCGATGCGAAATTTTTTCTTATGTATTTTTTTCAGGTCTAAGTCATGGTATATCCCTGATTGATTTGGCTTTAACTTGGTTTCTCAGGGCGTTTCTGGGAGTAAAGCCGCCAACTTCATAAATTTGTCTGGGGGCTTGGACACTATCAGCTATTTTTATTTTCTTTAAAAGGTATAAATGGGTGATGTTTCAAATTTGGCGCCCAATGTGGGACAGAATTTTTTACTTATTTATTTATACAGGGTCCAGGTTTTGTTATAATCCTTATATAAATACATCTCCTGATTTTAGTTATTTTGGGGAGTCTTCACCATATTTTCCACTCCATTTCACTCAAAGTTAGTTTCTCAAGCTGAAGGATACCTCTTGCAGTAAATTTAAATATAAGACTATGTTTCGGAGTAGATCCACTGTCTCTAATTTTTTGAAGATATTGAACATTATCAGACATTTTTCTTTTCTTTTAAAAGTATGATTGGTTTAAATTTGGCGTCCAATGCGTGCAGGATTTTTTTACTTATCTATTTTTATGATTTTAGTTATTTTGAGGAGTCTTGACCAAATTTTCCAATCGATTTGGCTTTAAGTTGGTTTCACAGGGCGTAGAAGACCTCTTCGCAGTTAATTGAAATGTAAGGCTATGTTTTGGAGTAGAGCAGCTTTCTCCATTTTTTTTTTTTGAAGATGGAAGATGAATTGGGCACTATTAGACATTTTTCTTTACCTTAAAAAGGACAAAAAAAGATACTTGAAATTTGGCGCCCAATGCGGAGAGATTTTATTTACTTATTATTTTGTTTACTTTGGGTCCATTTATTCGAAGAAGAGAAATTTATTACAAAATTCAGTTTCCTGATTTCTTTCAAGGGAGTTTTCATGTTTTTCATGTTTTATCTACTGAAAATTTTGATCCCAAGCCCGGTTTTAGTGATACGAGAACTTAAGGAAATCGTGACATATAAATTACCTGTTGATTATCACAACCGTTACATAGCTTTATTGTTATCGATAACGAACGATGAATATTTAAAAAGCGGTCATGCGCAATTCAGATAATAAAATTATTTTCACAAAGTATAGCAGCAAAAAAGAACACCGACAAAGTAACACATATTTGTATTCCACAATCAGAAAGACTAATTCTTAAAAAAATGCCTTGCAAAGGATGTGAAAAAGGTAAAACTATTTAATAATAATTTTTAATAACGAAAACAAAATTATTATCTGTTTTTTGATAGACTGCAAATGCACCACAGCAAAGTGCGATGAACGCTGTAAATGTGCCAAGGATAATAAATGTAATTGTATGAATGGTGACAAGGAGGCAGCAGCTACTGGAAAATCTTGCTGTAGCAAGCAAACTAAAAGTGACTAAGTTAATGGTGAATTGGAGAAATTTTTACATTTTTCATCTTTGTAGAAAATATTGAAAAATAAATGTGAAGTAAAAAGTTGATGCAGAAGGATTTTCAATAGCAAAGAAAAGAGGAAATATTAAATTTTCTGCGTAGAAATTTTGGGTTAAGAAACTTAATGTCTTTAGTAGGTAGTCAGAGTGTCCTTCTTTCAGAGAGTAATTCTGTCAATAGGGGCGTAACTTAGGGATCAGTGCGCTTATCCTTTTTATACCCTCCACCATACATAGTATGGAGGGTATATTAAGTTCATCATTCCGTTTGTAACTCAGCGAAATAATAATTTTAGACCGAACAAATTATATATATTCTTGATCTATGTAAAATTCTAAGACGATTTAGCCCTAACAGAGAATAGTCCATATAGGTCCACGATATCGCATAGACCCCATATTCGGTATTTTCACGATTTTAGCCACATTTTTCAATTGAATTGTCTGAAATTGTACACAAGGAGTTCCTTTTGAGTACTTTATAGCCTGGAAGAGAATTGTCTATATAGGTTCACGATATCGTATGGCCCCCATATAAGTGTACCCCCCGATATTCGGAATTTTCATGATTTTAGCCACAAATGTTCAATGAAATTGTCTGAAATTCTACACAAGGATTTCTTCGTGACTACTTTAATCCCTGAAAGAGAATTGTTTATATAAGTCCACGACTTCGTATAGCCCCCATATATAACGGCACTTTCCGATATTCGGCATTTTCATGATTTTAGCCACATTTTTCAATGGAATTGTATTAAAATCCACACAAGGAGTTCCTTGGGCGTACTTTATCTCCTGGAAGAGAATTATCTATATAGGTTCACGATATCGTATGGCCCCCATATAAGGGTACCCCCGATATTCGGACTTTTATGATTTTAGCCACATTTTTCAATGTCTTAAAATCCACACAAGGTGTTCTTTTTGAGTACTTAACCCCTTAGAAGAGAATGGTCTAAATAGGTCCACGTTTTAGTATAACGCCCATGTAAGGGTACCCTCAGATATTCGGTATTTTCATGATTTTTGCGACATTATTCACTGGAATTATTTCAAATTTCGCATATAAAGTTCGGAACCGTTACTACAGCCTATGACACAAATTATTTTATGCAGGCCACATGACAGAAGAATGCAGGCAGATGCATCAACGCTTGGGAGCATTGATATGTCAAAAAATTTTAAATGTTTTTTTCAAATATGAGTAGATTTTTAAATGTTTTCTTATACGACGTTATTAGGAGGTTATTATAATTCGAGTTTTTTTTATAATTTTTGCAAATTTAAATAATTTTTCATTCAACATTTTCAATTCCAAAATTGATTTGACAGTTCATTGTCCCAGCAGCTGTGTCGATGCGTCTACCTATATTCTTCTACCATGGCAGGACCACGTCTTCGTGTAGCCGCCATATAGCGGTTTTTTTCGACAGAATTTTTTGGAAAATTTTCAAGTTTCTTTCAAATGGTGTAGGGTATAAAAAGTTCGGCTTTAAATGTTAAAGATTATATAGAGGACCTTTGTAGGCGACCTTAAACTCTTCCTAAGTCGTTTTTTATAGGCGACCTCAAAATCGTCTTTATAGACCTTAAGTCGTCTCGATTGACCTTATGGGCGTCTTCATACACAACCTTAAAGACGTGTCTTTATATACAACCTTAAACACGTCCTTATCGTCGATCCCAAAATCGTCTTTATAGACGATCTTAAAGTCGTCTTTTAAGCGAGCTGCATAGTTTCTCACTACAGGAGCTTATGGTCATTTCCCCATATCATCTGCCTTAAGTCCCCATATAAAGACATCTTCTTTTGTGAGTTTAATGGGATTTAATTTGTTTTTATTTAATATTTTGTTTTTTTTTTTTTTTTGTTTTGTTGGTTTGTTTACTATTTTTCAATTTAAACATTGTTTTAAATTCATCCATTAATCAATATATTTGGCAACAGTTACTGTTGCCTTCCATAACTTAGTTTTGTTGTTGCATTCTCTAACGCGAGCACACACACACACACATGCATGCTGCATGCTCATTCAATGTTTATGTCTTCTGCCGTACAATGCAAAACAAATAAAAATGTTTAGGAAATTCTATTTCATACCTTTACCATGAGTGGATATGTATAAAATAATATTTATATAAGTATGTATATATGTAGTAATTAAATTAACAGAAATCGGTAAAAAAAAAACAAATAAAATTATTTATATAAAAAAATTCGCAATATTTAGAAAACAAAATTAAAAAAAAGAGTACAAATAAATGTTTATTTTTAAATATATGCTTAATGACACATTAAAAGAAAATTAAATTAAAGCAAGATCTTCAAAGAACAACAACAACAAACGAAAAAAAAAACACATTTCAAAAATGTTTCATTATTCAGTTACTTTTGGAAAACTTCCTCAACAAATGGATTGAAATTCTAAGATTGTTAACTAAAGAAAAAATATTTGATGTACCATTTAACGCCAGCGCCTTAGTTTAGAAAAAAATAATATTATTAAGTGATTTTATTTTCATTTGTTTCCTTCTGAAATTTGTTTTTAAGTTAAGCATAATTATTTTAAACTAGAATTATATCTTTAATTTTTTTTTATTATAAATTTACGTGGTTGCTTTAGAAACGAATGGAAAACCAAGGAGCGTAAGGGAGTGTGTGTGTGTGGAAATTTCATTTTGTTTAGAATAAAATCAATCCTGCTAATTAATGTACGCAAAACATTTTTTTGCCAATATTATGGAGGAGTTTGTATTCCGAAAATAGGGTTTGTGTCATTTCAAGGAAGAAAAAGAAATGATTTCTTAAAAAAATATTACAGGTTGTCTTTTCTTTTATGTTCTTCATTTAGTTATAAAAAAGTTAATTTATTTTGCAGCATTGGAAGTGTTATGGTTGTTATTTTTCTTGGATTTTCTTTTTTTACGATTCGAAACCGTAATATTTGTAGAGCCATTGGTGGCGGCTGTAGTGGCGCCCAACGATGTCACTGCCGTGGCTGCACTGCTACCATGATTTTGTTGACTCTGTTGCCTTTGCAGGAGTTTTTGTTGTTTGGCCTCATTGCAGGTGGCTGAAAATTTACTCCATATTGATGCAAACATCGTGGGGGAATTAGAGTTGGCAGAGGCTACAGCATTTAGATTTGGCGAGGCTAAAATACATTCATTTGGAGCAGTTTGTTTTCCCTTATCAATGTAGTTGTTGTTGTTCGTTGTGAGTTGTTGCTGCTGTTGCTTTAAATTATTACTATTAACTACCGTGGATGGTTGTGGCTGTTGTTTATTTCCAGAATTTTTCAAAGATGATGCTGATGATGATGCCGATGATGAGGATGATGATAGCATATTTGTTGTTGTTGGTGGCCCTTTTTCATTATTTGCCTTGGGCTTAGCCCCTACTCCTCCTCCTCTTCCTTCACCACCACCACCACCACTACTACTACTGTTATTTATTTTAGTTTCGCGGGCTTCTTTGGGCATTGCATTTTTGGCGTATTCTCATGAACTTTTCACCTTGCCATTAAGCGATGTGGTTCTGCCGCCACCCACTACATGCTCAGCGGCATGTGTGGCCACATGCTGTATACCCTTTTCCATGCAACCCTGATAAATGGGTTTCATAAACTGCAAAAGAAAGAAGCAAACATTTTAAGTTGTGTCAACAGGTTTGTCTTTAGGGAACTTACATTAATCCACAGTAACGTCGCAAAATCGTCTAATTTAACACCAAAATCACTTAATTCACCGCTATATCTGTAAAACAAATAAAACGTGAGATTAATTTTCTTTCCTTTAAAACAAATACCAAAAAAAAAATATTTTGTGACAAAATAATAGTTAGGAAATCTACGGAGATAAAGAATAGTGTTCAATTCTATAAATGTAGAGGGAAATTGAAAACGTTACTGAGCAACAAATCGAAATCGGGGCGAATTTTCATTGAATGATAACGTAATTTACTAAATTAAAATCTACTTCAGTTGGACATGAATCCTTTGAACTGTCTCAAGTCATGGTATGGACCTATATTGCAACTTGGAAGCAGAAATATATGTTTGAAGCTCATGAAACGCTAATCTGGTTCTGCTTCTATATCCACTTTCACTTTTTTTTTAAATTTTTCACAGACAGTTGTGGCTTGCGAGGACGACTTGAACATACTGTCGAATGCGACCCCAAGTATCTTGAGGTAGTTAGTGGTCTGAATTTGTGTCCCTTAACCTGTACATTCTCATCTCCGCGGTCCGAGTGTTAAAATGTGTGGTGGGATATATTAATATTTCTCACATGGAAGAAGGCGGCAAGCTCAGCGAGATAAGTTTTCAATATGATATATATGTTACCAACGACAGGACCGCATAGGTTAGGATCGCAATGCCGTCTAGAGGACGCGGTGTTCCGGAAAGGGAACTCCCTCTTTTACTCTACGAGGTTTGGATGTCTTGTTCCGGAATTCGACTTACGAATGGTGTCCACACATAAAATTAACTATCTAACGTTTCAAACTAGGACGGAGGGTAGTGTTCTCAACGACTTCGAACAGCGTGGCATGATTGACAGATTGACAATCTTTGATTGACATCAACTAATATGTGTGAATATGGTATGCAATGCAGTTGTGGCCCTATGTTGTGGATGGAATTGTTGATGGTTAGCAACTGGATAACTTCCTGTGACGCTGGAAAGGAGTAAAGCCTCAAGAATCTTTGCTACTGGCGACAAATTGGCCTGTATGATTCTCCTTTGCTGGTATCTTTACCTGACTTCAGTAGTGGACCAATTATCCCAATTTCCGGGCTTGGGGAACGATATTCTGTCCGGGCAAAATACCGTTTTCTTTTCTGTAGGTACCCAACTTTAAAGAATTGCAGCTATTTTGCTTGGAAAAAACACTGATTATATTTATTGATAGGGTAAAGAATAACATATATAACATACATAAATCATTTAGTTGGGTACTTTTGGCAACGTGGTGCGAGTTCCGCACCAAACTGGACTGAAAAATGAATTGAGACTACATTTTTTTTCAAGGTTTATGTGTGGATCAGACGTTCTTCAAGACCAGTTATACATAATATCTGTATCATTGTTATACATAATATCTGTATCAGTTTGTTGGTCAAGAGGTTCTCTATAACATCTATGGGTCACTATTTTGATCATTTAGATCCTTCCTGACTCACCGAGGCAAGGTAGATAGATTTATGCACCTGTATTAAAAGTAAGGCCAACATACAAGAGGAATATTCTCTAACTAGTCTAATTGGAGGCACCTGGGCGCGTTTTGACAGGTCTACTAATCGCGGATCAGAGTAAGATTAAATAGCCGACCATCTGCCGATTATTTTTTACTCTTCGATATGACGACCTTATTTCAAACTTTTTTTATTTATCGCAGATAGCTGTGACGAATGCAATTAGAAGAGTTAACGGTCGAAATTCTATGATCATCGATTATCAGATTCAGTTGCAGTTGCAGGCTCAGCTGTCCATGTGGTATTTATTGCTGCATATTGGAGAATAAAGATTGATTTAAATTGGAAAACACGGATGGATTTAAATTAGAAAATGGCACTGGATCGGAGTAGACTTCGGCGAAAAAATGGAACGTAGCCTACAATCCTAGCAGCTAATGCAGATCTATGTCAGAAGATCAAAAAGGCAGCAAAATTTATTAAAGAAAAATAAGGGATTTTCTGATCATTAACCCGGCAACTATAAACTTGGAAATTCTTTTGAAGTCATAATTTATTCAAAATGTGCAAAGAGTGCAGATTAAGCTTGAAAAAAGTACGGTCCATTTTCGTAAGCTACTCTATAAAAGAGTATTACAGATTACGACCTAGGACCAGTTTTAATAACCTCTGAAAAGCCCTCAATAAATTCTTAATGTTCTTCAACAAAAATTCATTTGTCACTCACTTTTCTCCTTCAAAGTTAAAATATGTTTTTCTACAATTTTTCTTACCTTATATATGCCCACAAAGCTAATGTCAATAGGGCTATGCCCATAATTAAATTGCTGAAATTGGCAAATGTGTACATGCCCACCAGACCAAAGATGCCGCTTAGAATGTAGAAAATAACAGCCACAGCGAAATACACGGCCGGAGTACGGGCAGCTTTGAATATATTTTTGCTTTCATTGTGCGATTTGTAATTGATGTACATGTCCTCGAGGTCCGTGTCCAATTGTTGGCGGAATTTTTCTGTGAAATCTTCACCACCCATTTTGCGTTTGGCCAAAAACTGAAAGAAATAGGATAATTTAATAACCATTCAATAAATAAAATTACAATCTTTGTCTACCTGAAACACCGCCTTATCTTTACATCTCAAATGTTCAGCTTCCAAGTGTCCTGTGCTTAAGTACGGCCGTGTTCCACCACAAACATCTTCCATGAGCTGATTGTACATTTCCTTGGCCGCAGCCATGGCTGTCAAATGATTGGCCTCAGCAGTGGCCACCAGCATACTCTTGGGTTCGGGCAGTTCATCACCCTTGTAGATGGTCATGTACGATTGGAAATATTGTATGAGATCGCGGGCACGTATACGTGCACCACCAATTTCCTTGTATACCAAATTGTCGGGCGACAACAGCATGGGCACCAAACTGCGTAGACTTTGTTTGAATTCCGGTGTTATGTCTTTGAGACGGCCATCAAAATTGGGATTGGTGGCCACATTAAGGCCGGGATGTGGCATCAGAAAACAGGCGACTTCTTGAAAACACGAGGAAATGTGACGTCTCAGCGATTGCAATTCTGGATGTTGTTTGTCTGATATTTCCAGACGTTTCTTTAAAATCTGTTCACCACCCAAGGCACCATATTCAGCTTCATAGGGAAAACTCCAATCACGCACCAAAAATTGTAAACGTTGGAAGGGTTTCTTGCCCGAATCGGCCAATGCCAAACGTCCATATTCTGTGAACAGTTGAAGATGTTGCAGATCATCTTCTTGGATGTTTTGTGACAAATTATAGATTTGCACCGACGACAACATGGTGCTCAAGGCAAAAACTGTGGCACAATCGCGGACAGTACTCTGGCTATCGAAAGCTCCTTGGGTGTCCAATAGAATAATGGCAATTTTATCACCATTGGGATAATCGTGAAGGAATATGTCCGACCACATGAGTATGCCGGTTGTGTCACGTTCCGAACCGCCGCGCCATGAAAAACCTGTCAAAGGTGAGTTTTCATCGCCCAACCAATCGGTGACATCATGACGAACGTACTACAATGTAGAAAAGAGATATGGCATAATCATTTTCTGAATGGGCAAGGTGATTTTATGACTTACCTTGGAGTACATATATCTGAGGAAAAAGTCCAACAGAAAACTTTTACCTTTGCGAAATGCTCCAGCCACTGAGACCACACAAACATAGCGATCTTTGACTTCCTCGCGCATCAGCACCTCGCTCAATTGATCTTCATTTAATAGAAATGTGTGCTCCTCCGATGTGGAGATAACCTGTACCGCCTCTCCAGGCATTGTGTGGTGCGTTCTTTCTGGTTAAGTGTCTAATAATGTTGAATGAATTGATTTTCCAATTATTGGAAATTGTTTAAAGGGGTATTGAGTGGTAGAGCAAGCAGAACAGCTACTCCTCCTCCTATCGGTGGTGGGTGATAAGGACCAGATTTGAAAACAAAACAATTATGCCAATGTCTTCTTCTGAAAAAAAAGAAAGGAAAAAAAAAATAATTTTTGTAAATAATTTTCAAAAAGATTTCTTAATAAATAATTGCTCTTTACAAGATCTTTGCAAACGTCCGCGTAGGTAGCTCTGTGTGTGTATGTTCCGCGTTCCTTAAATAATTACGTTGCAATATTTTCATGTTTTGACTCATAATGATTTTAGACTCTTACAAAAAAAAAGAGAGAATGGCTCATCATCATCACATTCGTTTTAGTACCAAAACCATATATATATATTCATGCAAAAAAAAAATATTTGTTTAAAAATAGTTTTTCAAATATTGTGTCAGTTGTCTTTATGTTAAGAGCACTGTATGTTTTAAATTATCTACAGATGTTAGAGGGGAACCAAAGGCCTACATTTTTGTTGGTCTTTTTTTGAAGAGGCGAATCAAAGAAGGAATATTTAAAGTTGTCGCCTTGTCATTTCGACTATGTGCCGTACTCGAAAGTTGTCAAACAACTGAACATTGGATATTAAGACCTATGGTAAGAATGGAAAAGGGAGATAAAGATACAGACAAAGGAGGGAAAACGTATGATTTTATATCCTCTTCAAAAACAAATAAAAGAGATCAATAAATTTATCATTTCTTTGGAAATTCAATGAAATATTTATATTAAAACAAAAAAATTGGATGATCAGCATTTAAAAGCAATTTAGCCAAATCCGTGTGTTAATCACCGTAACTTCCGAAACGAATTATCTGAAATTTTGTGTTTTCAATACGTAGTATATAGAAAAATTACACAATGAACACTGGCTTACAATCAACAGTTAAAAAGGCTAAAGGTACAACTTTGAAATGTTGCACGAGTATCTCTCCTGGTGTGAAAGTGTGTGATAGGTACCGAATTCCTTAAAGGAAAACCTAATAAAAATGAGTTCCAGATGGTTTGCCAAATGTTCACTTTTGCAAAATGTGGCATATGTTTGCCTAACCCAGGCATATGAAAATTTTCATTTGAATATATAATCAACACTTTCTGCAAATGCAAAATTTATGATTTTTTTTTCAATTTTATGAGGATGATTCAAAATCTACATCATAGTATACTGGATTTAAAAAAAAACTCTTCTACCATATTGGTAAAAAATGTACTAGATTTGGTCTCATTGTTATTCAGTGAACGAATAGATTAAGTATGGGAATCGCTGTTACTGTAACAGTTCGTCTAAAATTGGAGGGTTCTTTCTGAAGAAACAATACCAAAAAAGGAAAAGGAAACAGGAAGATAACTTATTTATGTGCATATAATCGGATATGGGCAGCCGGTGAAACTGCGCCACACCACACAAATCTATAATATAAGACGGGGGAGTGTATTGAGGGCTTTGTAGGAATGTAGAGCATCTATTAATGGTACTGGGTATCTGTATGAATTGAGGACGTTACATTATCCCGACCGAAGGTGTGCTACAATTGAACGAATATACCAAGGAAGTTACGGCTCCAAGGAAATTACGACAGGGTAATGGCTTCGGAGATGTACTGTTTTCCTCTTGAAAGCCTTTACGATAGCATCTGAAGTGCTGACTGATGTAACGGAAGGAGTATTTTTCATCACTGTGTGATGACTGGGGAGACTCGGCGGATAATACGATGCACTATTTTCCTCTTGAAAGTCTTTTTTCATCACTGTGTGATGGCTGGGGTGACATGGCGGATAACCCGTCAGCAGGAACTGTCTATTTAACAACACGTTATGCTGCCTGACTGACGGGATGTTGTTCTGTGACGTTCGCGAAGTACCCCACTAAGGAAATAAGTCCAGACCGAAGCAGCATAGTTAAGGACGGAACGATTTATGGCCCTGTGTGTCGCTACCGTTCCAACAAGTGTTTTAAGGACTTTATTTCTAAATATCACTTTCTGGTTGACGTGAAATGAGGAAAGTGGTTTTACGCTTTCCTTCAATGGATATATCTAACTCCAAATTTACTCCACGGGTTCAAGAGGTAATGAGCAACACGAAGACTTTATAGAAGATTATATAAGATTGCCTGTGCTGATTAAGGTGATTTGCAATATTAGTGGTTATCTTTTGCAAAGTTGTGGCGGTACACAACCCTGATACCGTGTTGACTCTTTCAGGGACGGGAGTAACAGGGATTATACAATTTTTTTCTACATGTAAAAGAAGTCAAATCAGATTTCGAAATTGGAATAACACAGGCCACGTTCAAAATAAAAAGGTTATTAGGCAATTGATAATTCCATGATTCAGGTCAGGTAACTCAATGACTATTGTAGCCTGCTTTTTGATTAAGTACGGTTTGGATTTGGTGATAACTGTCTCAATCTCACTTTACATAAGGGAGAAGGGTTGTTCTGTGAATTGACGGCAGAATTGTATGGTTCACTTTATGACAACGGAGTACTGAGCGGTATTAAAGGCGATTGCATGGTTATTGCTAATGCTATGAAGTATCTCTAATGTGACACTATTTCAGGAAATGAGGTGGCTGTACCGTCCGGAACTCAGTTGCACCATAATTACGCTAGGCTCTTAAGGTTGTTCTCGTATTCCGTTGCTATGGCTGGCAGGTGATGATTTTCACTCCGTATTCCACCATAACTTTTATAAACGCGTCAGAGTGAATACCATTCAGTCCTGCTTGTTTGGCATATGTGATTAAGAAAAGTAAGGGATTTTAAAAATGCATACTATTAGAGTACGAAAACTATTATATGGTACTACTTATACCCTCCACCATAGTATGTAGGGTATATTAATTTTGTCATTCCGTTTGTAATACCTCGAAATATACATTTTAGACCCCACAAAATATTCTTGATCAGCATAAAATTCTATGTGGAAATCACTCTAGCTTCCGAACAAAATAAAGTAGATTGATACAATTTTACTTTACATAATATACATTTGTCTGCAGGACTTTTGGTATTGAAAATGGTCCACGTCTTCGTATAGCCCCTATATAACAGCACCTCCCGATATTCGGTATTTTGAAAATTTTAGGGACATTATTAACCGGAATTGTTTCGAATTTGGTATTTGAAGTTCGTAATGCATACGCATATGACAGGAGATTGCCTGTGTAGGTCCACGTCTTCGTATAGCCCCCATATAACGCTACCTCTCGATATTCGGTATTTAGATGATTTTAGCCACATTATTCCCCGGAATTGTTTCGAATTTGGTACTTGAAGTTCGCAATGGATACTGCAGCCTAAGGCAGAAAATTGTCTGTGCAGGTCCACATTTTGGTATATCCTCAATATAATAGTACCTCCCTATAATGTTGATTTTAGTTGTATTATTCACCGATTTTTTTCAAGTTTCGCATTTGAATATTGTAATGGCTCATGACAAAAGTTGCCTATGCACGTCCACGTCGTCGTTTAGACCCTAATTTTTTAGGATTTTTAGGATTTTAACAGAATTTTTATTATTATTATTTTTTTTTTTTTTTTGAAAATTGCAAAATTCGTTCCAAATGGTGGAGGGTACTCAAAGTTCGGCCTGGCCGAACTTACAGCTTTTTTACTTGTTTTTAATTCGGTATTAGAATTGATGAAGAAGAAGCTTGAATTCAAGGAGTATTGTTGGTGTCTGGTATTCTGATTATGTGTTTGTGTACTTAACACATAATCAGTACTGAATGGTATATACATTTTATGGGAAGGATTACGCCAAAATTTTGAATGCTGACTTAGGAAGGAAATATGGAGATGGTTTTGGAAATTCAAGCCATGAGTGAACCTAAACAAATAATTGGTACTAAATGTCTGATATTTGGAAAACATACATTTATGTCACTAAATGTACATTTCATAATTATGTGGAATGAAAACCGCTTATTTTTTAATACTTTTTCTCATCAACATATTATGTATTTAAATTGTAAATAACATATTGCACACAACAATCAACGAATGATTTTATAAATGAAGCATTTTTAATGATGGACATTTTGAGATCTTGAACTGTCGAATTGTAAGCAAAATGGACATTTTAGAACATTTGTGTTAATTGTTTAATATTTAAAAATAAATAACATAAAACTTAAAGATTGATAGAAGAAAACAATCGTATTCATCAGAAAATGATAAGAAAATGGACAAAATAAATACGAGGGGGCAAAAAAAAAAACATTATTTAGGGACGGCTAGAATTAAATCGTTCTTAGTTTTTTTCACAAACTCGCGATTTCGAAATTACATTTGCCGTATCGAACACTTTGCACAGAAGAAAAACTGCCTCAAAATTTCGTTCTCATGATTGTTTCTAATTTATTTTCCCAATCCTATTAAACGATGACCCAATTTTGTAGGTAAATTGACGATTTCAATCACAATAAAAAATTTTAGTTGCCTTAAATTATTAAAAATCTACAGTATTTATGCAAACAAAAAATTTGTTTGATTTAAAGAAATTTGGAAACATTAACCCATCATTAAACTATACAGCAAATTCAGCAGACGTTTTTAGAAATTTATTTCCACAATTATAATATGTATCATGATCTCTTTATTGGGCACATACATTTTTTTTGGAAGGAGTGGAACGTGTTTCAAAATGTCTTCTCCATCGATGACAGTATTTTTTATATATGCAAATATTTGCCTACGTCTTAAATATTTTAAATACATTTTATAATTTTTACGTTAAATATTACACAAAACCGGTATTTCAAATAAATTATAAAGTCCATTTCAGCAATACATATATTTACAAAAACAATTATAAATATGTGCAGATTTATATACATATTTATTCGCGCACAGTGATTTATTCGGATTTGTATTTCAATACTTGGCAATTATTTTGTTTATTTTGAAATATGACTAATTTTAATAGGGCTGACTGAGTGAGTGCGTGTGTGTTTTATGTATCTACGAGTGGTTGCGCTGTGGCTTATTAGATCATGGGAAACGTAAACGACGAAATCAAAGAGAATATAAATAAATAATTAAAAAAAAAAACAATATTAATATACGATGGATTCTTTGAATTACGGTAGAGCAAAATCGCAACAAAAAAATTGAAATAGGAAGGTAGGTAGTAATTGAAATAGGAATATATTCTCTAAATAAATTTTACATTGAAGATGTGCCAGAACGGAATATGTTTTTAAAGAACTTTAATGCATCTATATGATTTTTTAGCATCAGAATTCAAGGAATGATTTGTAGGATATTATAGCGTCTGAACTCCTGACCAGTGGGTCGGCTATATAGGTATAACTGAGGAATTAGGTCTACTTAGTGGATAGGGACGTATTCAAATAATGTAAACACAACTTCAACTTCTATTGGTCAAAGATAAAAATATATCTTCAACTGTAAACATATTTTGGCGGCCTAAAATGACTTATTTTTGTCGTTATAAAGACCCCTTCTTGATACTCTACAAAGACTCCATTAGGATCTCCTATATAATTTCCTCTTGGTTGCCGTTAGACTATCTTTCTGTTGGCTGGTGGTCTATCGATTTTAATTTCATTGCCACTAAGCGATAATATTTTCCATTTTGATCGATAAAGATCCCAGGGCGTCTTTGGAGCGTCTATCAAGTTTTTGTTTGGCATATTTTAATACCTTAATCGTATATAGCGACTCGGAAAATGTCGGAAATAGCATCAAATTTTACAATAAGTTTAGATTTGTTCGGATTGGTCACCTTTGGCACGAATTATGGTCTTCAAACGGCCAATGAAACCGTCACACGCTGCCCGAATTTGCTCTGCGGTGTTTTGGCCTATTCCCGGCGAAGCGTTTGCTTGAGGTGATCGACACATTGGAATTTTTTAGTCCCAACCTTGCTTTCCAAAATACTTCAGACACAAAAGTCCAACGGATTGGTACCTGGAGACTTTGGTGACCATTGTGCGCTGGAGCGTGCTGAGTGCGATGATCCTGTTGGAATGTCCAACGTTTGCTGCCAAGGCTTTAATACACCCTCCAGAATATTTTCACGATAATATTCTGATTCCACAGTCGATTAATACGAGCGGAGAGCGACCATCGGCTGTTATGGCGACCCACACCATCATCATGGCAGGCCCTTGAGTTGTGGTGGCCAACCGAAGGTGCACATTTTCAGCTGACCTATTTGACAAGTAAACACGATCATTTAGTTTGTTTATACACTGCTGGACAACAAATGTTTTCTCATCGGAGAAAACTAAATTCGGCAGTTCACCACATTCGGCCAAGCGAAGCAACTCTTTGGCTCTTTTGAGTCTATTTTCTTTCAGTTGCGGTGTGAGTTCTTGCACTTTTTGGAATTTCAATGTCTTTACCCCGAGCTCATTTTTGAATATTTGCCGAATGGAATATTGCGATATGTTCAGCGCACGAGCCATTTTTCGGCCACTGCGACGCGGGCATTGATCAATTCGCTTTTTTACTCTTCTGCTGACGTTGCTGTTTTCTTCCGTCCACTTCCTTCACGCCGGGCTACGCTACCAGTATCACGGCAACGAGCGATGGTACGAGACACAAAAGATTTATTCACATTTAAATGTTGGAGTGCTCGAGCGATAGCCACTTGTGGTTTTCCAGCTAAAAAGAAATCACATATCACGCTTGAATTCCATCACGAATAACTTTTTTTTTGGAAAATTCTCACCAAAATGCTTTTGTACGCTTGTAAGAAATATAAAGAGCTTTTATTGGAATAATTTTAGCAGCTGTCGGACGTTTGGCTTAGATATGACAGTAGTCTGAAGTTGGTTGCAGTTTTACATCTCACCCTGTATACGCCTCCTTCAGTTGGTCTATAAAGACTCCCTCATTCAGCTCGTTAACACAGACAGCCTTCGGCTCGTCTATAAAAGGATTACCTTTCTCAGCTCATCTATATTAGTCGTCATCAACTAATAACAAATAAAGATAGCTTTCATTTTGCCTATACAGACCGCATTGAGCTCGTCTAAAAAGAAGGCTTCAGCTTGTCCAAAAAATACCTCCTTCCACTCGCATCCAAAAGATAGCTTTTAGCTCTTCCATAAAAACCTGGATCGTCTTTAAAGACAGCCTTTACTCTTGCATAAAAGCGCCTTTAGCTCGCTTGTAAATATCGTCTTTCACTCGTCAAAAGGCCTTCTCAGCTCGTCTAAAAAGACCTTCTTCAATTTGTCTAAAATGGGCCAGCTTTAATCTTCTACAAAGGACCGCTCTCAACTCGTGTATAGGGACTGCTTTAGCTCGACTATAAATACTGTCATCAAAAGTTCCATAAAAGACCCTTAGTCCCACTTAAACAGATTCTCTCTCTCTCTCTCTGGAGCTCTTTGCTTTGTCGACTGCTATTTTATTGCCCAAAATTGTTTTATTTCAAACACACACTCACACATCTTGCACGGAAGATGACTGCGATGACACATAAACAATTACATTATTTATCAGAAATGAGAAATAAAAACAACGACAACACCTTATAAGATATATATATATAACTACATATTTACAAAGACTGTGAGAAATAAATATTGTTAATGATCACCAAATTGACAAGATTTTCAGACCATAAGATGTCATTTGATGTAGATAGGTATGTGAGAGTTTTAAGCCAATAATATAATGGATACCAATATAAAATTAATTAATACATTAATAAATTATGTTATTATTGTTTGGGTTTTAACAAGTTTTTGGTGAAAAAGAGATTTGCAATTTCAAACGTTGAATCCAAAGGTTGGGAACGTTGTTAAACTTGTTGTTGTGTGCCAAATGATATTGGTTGTTAAGTCAGCCAATCGTGAATCGACCTTTGATGACGTTGACATAAAAGTTTTTTTTTTTTTGACTTGTGTGTATGCACATACGTACGTATGTGTGTGTATAATAAATATATTTTAATTAAAACAAAAACAAAATTGCTTTCATTCATTTCTTTTTGGTAATGATAGCTGATGTTGGTTGCCGTTGTGTTGAAATGAAACATTGATATTGGGCCAAACACATGGATGGCTAGGTTTTTGGGCTACCTTGGGGCTAACTGAGGTGATAAGATTAAAAATTGTTTTTTTTTTTTTTTCTTATGGGAAAATACAATTTGTTTGTTGTTGCACTTGCACACACAATCACTTGTGACCATAGAAGTCTCTTGAACAAGCTGCACACAAAATCGACACGTTTAATTTCTTTGTCTTCTTCTTATTGGGATCATGATCTCAATACCCAGTAATTTTTTAAAATTTTGAAATAGGTATTTTCACAATATTTCAACTTCGATCAGACCAACTTGCATTCCTGCACACAAAAGTTACTTCTCCCAAAGCCCACAACACTCAAAACCACACGAGTTTTGATTTATTAGTTAATGTCTGTCCACAATCATTTTTGTCAGCGAACAAAGAATGTCTATACGGTGGCAAGAAATGTTAATACATATGTAAAATAGACAACACACGACACATACATAGTAAACCGAAAAAAAAGAAGTACAACTGAATGTTACAAATCTGGTCTTCTTGTACCCGTTCAAAATCGACGCAAAGGTTTTGTTTAGGGCCTTTCTTTTGTTTTTTGTTTTTTCGATTATAAATAATCTCAGTTAAACAACCAGATCGCCGCCACCGCCACACACATTCGTTCGGTTCCGAGAGAGATTCAATACTAAATGGCCAGTAAAGCAGGCGTGTTTAGATTGAGATACACTTGTTCGATGCAAGCCAATGTGTGTGATATGTGGGCAGAGATGGGAATGTTTGATTGATTGTAAAAGGAATCCAATTGGAAAGTAACAGCTAGTTTGGAACAACTCTAGTTTAGTAAAAACTCGAAATTTTTCTACCCTGATTTCGGTAGAGTATTTTTTCTTGGGGGACGGACCCCGATACCCAAAACTGCGGGTCCAAGACCCGGACCTACTAAACCGATATGAACAATTAGGTATCATTTGAATTTGTATCAAAATTATAAAGTTTTTGGACCAGAATTCTTTAAAAAAAATCCCCCAAAAGTCAAAAAGGCCTAATTTTGGGAGTTCAAAAAAATTTATAAAAATTATAGTTAAATATTCTCCAGCTCCGACCGAAGGACGACTACTTAAAAGGATTATCAAATTTAGAAAAAATCTAGTTGGCGGTATTGGACATAAATAGAGGAGTAAATCTCAAGGCTACCCAAAACAGCATACAATTTAGAAAAACTGAACCAAACAACATGGCTCGTCCGTCTCGATCTCTGGATCAAAGAAAGATAAAAACAAATATTGTAGCATTTTTGAAAGGTTATAATGTATGGACATAAACAGAGGAGTAAATCTCAAGCCCCTGCCCAAGGCCCTTAAAACAGCACACAATTTAGAAAAACTAAACATAATCATCACGTTCGGGTTCAAAGACCCACATCTCAGGATCCAAGAAAGATTATAACAAATATTGCAGCATTTTAGAAAGGTTATAATGTCAACTACAATTTTCACAAATTTCGAGGGGGTTTTCCGATTTTTGGGCGATTTTTTAAAAAATCCAGGTCCAAAAAATCAATGTTACATATCTACCTCTGGAAAAAAATTCATAAAAATCTGTGAGTTTTTACTAAACGAAAGTTAAGCCGCTAGTTTTAATGATAGATATATATTGATCAGTTATGATTCAATATTGGTGTACTCTTCTACGAGTTTACTAACTAGCCTATAAGAACTCCCTTTCACTCGCAGTAAAATACTCCCTTTAGCTCTCCTTAAAATACCTGCTTCAGCTTGTTTAAAAATACTCCCTTCAGCCCGCGTAAAATTACTTCCTTTAACTCGTCTATAAAGAAAGTCTTCGCCTCCTTTATAAAGGCCCCCTTTCACCTCATCTACATATCCTGCCATAAACTCTTCTATAGAGACCCTCTTCCGCTCGTTTATAGAGACCCTCTTCCGCTCGTTTATAAAGACCCTCTTCCGCTTGTCTACAGAGACTCCCATCTGCTCGTCTATATATAAACTCTCTTCAGCTCACATATAAAGACTTCTTTCCAGCTTGTCTGTAAAACTTACATCTGCACGTCTTTTAAAACTCTAATCAAGCACGCCTATAAAGACTTCCTTTGACACATCTTTAAATTTTATAAAAATACCGTCTTTTAATTAACATCATCTCAATGTCATTGAATTTAGCTCATCGAAATATTCTAACAATTTTAAATTTCCATCTCTGCACAGTGTCTGTGACAACGTCAGCTAAAGTTCGTATAGCCTAAATAAATAAAAACAAAACAAAGTCAACGTGGTTTTGAGATGATCATGGAAGAGAATGCAATATAATCTGGTTTGATTTTTTTACTCTCTTCTCTCAATTGCAAGGCCGGCAAGAAAAGAGTAACAAAGGTTGTTTTTCTTTTTAACTGAACAAAAATACATTGAGAGAGAAATGAAATGAGGGGACTATTGTAATCCACTAATTATTTAATATAATGAGTGAACTCAGAAACCTAACCGATCAATACACGTTCATGACTCAGGTTTGAACAATGACGAAATAAAATCGGTTAAAAATGTATATTGAGAAGTTTTGCATGATTCCTTTGTTAACGAAAATAAAAACAATTCTGTCATTTGCAAACAAAACATTCGAATGGCTCATATTTCACAAGAATTTATAGCGAAAGTGTCAAAAATGCGCATTATATATTTAAAAACACTTTTCAAGCTGAATTGTTGTAAAGACGCAGTGCGTATTTACACCGGCAGATAAATTAAACTCAATAACAAACTATTGTTCCAATAGGAAAATTAAATAAAATTTTTTATTATTTAAATTTGCCAACCCAATTTGTCCTGATCGACCTGACTTTAAGACGCATTAAAACCTCTGTTACGTTAGTGATTTATAGTTGTCATTTTGGGCAAATATCATCGATCTTAGCATTATGTAGGAATTTAAATTGAAGTTGAGCCAAAAAATATATATCAGTTGTTTTGAAGACTGCGGGGAGATACCAGAAGGAGTGTAACGATTTGGAAGAAATAATATGAGCAGATATTTGGAGATACGGGAAGTTTGAAGGAAATCGGGAACTATTGCACATTTTGTGTTTTGGGGGCGGTACGAAGGGAATATGTGGTGAGTGATGATCGGCAATTAACTTAAGAATGATATAACTATTACAACGTACAATATTTAGAGTATATAAAGTGCTCAGCATGTTTCTAAAATGCATATATCTATCATAATGGGACGTAGGAATGTTGTGTCACCGGAGATAGAACCCATTAAACAAATCCGATAGAAAATGCTTTACAAATTCATAAAAATATCGCATATCCGAAGGTATTAGAAAAAGCGGATATATATAGACAAAGTCATATCATCTGAGGTGCAGGGTGAGATAAAAAACTGCAACAAAGTCAAACGCCATTAATTTTTAAAATTTTTTTAAATTTTATTGAATGGAATAAGTTTGGATTTGTTGAAATTGGTTACATTTGGTTCGAATTATGGTCTTCAAACGGCCAGTGAAACCGTCACACGCTGCCCGAATGTTGCTCTGCGGTATTTTGGCACATTCCCGGCGAAGCGCTTGCTTGAGGTGATTGACACATTGCAACTTTTTGGTTCCAACCTTGCTTTCTAAAATACTCCAGACACAATAGTCCAACGGATTGGTATCCGGAGATTTTGGTGACCATTGTGCCCTGGAAATGAAGCGAGGAACCTCATTCTTGGATGGCGCGTGATGAGTGCGATGGTGCTGAGTCCTGTTGGAATCTCCAAGGTCTGCGGCCAAAATGTTTGCGTGCCCAAGGCTTTAATACACCCTCCAGAATATTTTCGCGATAATATTCGGCATTCATTCTGATGCCATGGTTGATTAATACGAGCGGAGAGCGACCATCGGTTGTTATAGAGGCCCACACCATCACCATGACCGCCGCTTGAGTTCTGGCAGCCAACTTAAGGTGGACATTTGCAGCTGACCTCTTTGTTGTTTACAAACAACGAGTGATTTCTCATCGGAGAAAACCAAATTCAGCAGTTCACTACTTTCGGCCAAGCGAAGCAACTCTTTAGCTCTTTGAGTCTATTTTCTTTCTGTTGCTGTGTAAGTTCTTGCACTTTTTGGAATATCAATGGCATTACCCTGAGCTCATTTTTCAATATTTGTTGAATGAAATATTGTGATATGTTCAGCCCACGAGTCATTTTTCGGCCACTGCGACGCGGGTTTCGATCAAGTCGCTTCTTTACTTTTCGAACCATTTCTGCTGATGTTGCTGTTTTCTTCCCTCCACTTCCTTGACATCGGGCTACGCCATCAGTATCACGGTAACGAGCGATGATACGAGACACAAAAGATTTATTCACATTTAAATGCTGGAGTGCTCTAACGATAGACGCTCGTGGTTTTCCAGCCAAATATAAAGAAATCACACTATCACGCTTGAATTCCATCACAAATAACTTTTTTTCTGGAAAATTCTCCACAAAATGCTTTTGTACGCTTGTAAGCAATATAATGAGCTGTCACGGGAATAACTTTAACAGCAGTCTGAAGTTGGTTGCAGTTTTTACATCTCACCCTGTACAATGATGGAAGGTATAAAAATATATACTTTCGTTAACAGAGCTAAAGATTTTCTATTGTTAACCATGAAGGAATACGGTTAATATTAATTTTTTCTATACTAAATAAGAAATCATATCCAAAAAAAAATTGAAATAAATTAACCCACTTTTACTGATTTTACAGCCATCCAAAGTTGCACGTTGTTATTTTGTTTTTCTCATCCTCTCATCTATTCACAGTGTAAACAATGAGAACCGAATAATCATCTGGCCATGAACTGGTGTTTTCAACTCCAGCGACTTTAATAGAAAATATAACCACTTTCCAACACTGTTTCAGTTTAAGCCAAAAGAAATAGGAAAAATGGCCACAAAACAAAATCAACGTTAAGAGAATCACGTATTAAAACATGGCTCAAAAACAAATGGCTATCGAGTTAAGGTGCTAGAGGAGAGAAAAAGAGATGACGCCATACAACAAAAAAACGTTTAAGAAACCCGCCAAAACGTAACAGTTGTTGTTTCTTTTTACCTTGTGTTAAACAGAGGTTTATGAGTCATTTGGGTTTGTATTCTCCCATCCAGAGAGACAAATGGAGTGATCTCCCTGGTTAGGAAGAGAGAGAGATACTCTACTCAAAGAGACAGAATGACTGACATTTATGGTGGTATGTATCTCATCTGAAGCTAAGCTTAATCAATTATGAGCTGTGAGTGTGTGTTGTTGTTCTTGTTCTTTTATGAGGAGGAATACTAGTGACTGTCATTAATGTTCTGTCCGAACAGTCGTCGTTCGTTCGTTGTCATACCAATGAAGAGTGGAAATTACTCTGGACATTAAAAAAAAAATATTTTCCAAGTGGAAATGTATTATTTGCTTGACTGGCGCAGCAGCTGCTACTGTCGTTACTACTAACCTAATGTTGATGGAACGTCAATGTGTCGGTCTGTCTGTCTATCGTGTGCTGATGGTGGTGATTGCTCTGAGGATGATGATCTATAGTGTGGTTTCGAAAAATACAATTTGAAAATCAAACAAAAAAGCAGAAAATAATTAATCCAGTGATTTCTAGTAGTAGCAAAACCCAACAACAATAACGCCAGCAACGACGAAAGGAA